GGGTGGGGCCATCCTCTTCCTCACCTCACAGATTTTGGACAGGGCTGTCCCCTGCTTCTTCCTCACACAGAGTTTGGGTGGGGCCATCCTCTTCCTCACCCCACACAGAGTTTGGGTGGGGCCATCCTTCCCTATCTTAGATTTTGGGTGGGGCCATCCTCTTCCTCACCTCACACAGTATTTGGGTAGGCCATCCTTCCTCCCATCACAGATTTTGGGCAGGGTCATCCTTCCTCACCTCACACAGATTTTGGGCAGGGCTGTGCCCTGCTTCTTCCTCACATAGATTTTGGGTGGGGCCATCCTCTTCCTCAGCTCACTTTGTGTGGAGCCATCCTTCCTCACCTCACAGATTTTGGGCAAGGCCGTCCTTTCTCTCCTCACAGAGATCTTGGGTGGGGCCATCCTTCCTCACCTCACAGATTTTGGGCAGGGTCGTCCTTCCTCACCTCACACAGATTTTGGGTAGGGCTGTCCTTCCTCACCTCACACAGAATTTGGGAACCCTTGGTTGGGGTGTTGGGATGGGGGTCCCACCCTGCTGGGGGTGTCCCAGCAGATCTGGTGGCAGTGTGGAGGGAGGCGGCTGGTGGGAATTGGAGGTGGCTGGTGGGAACTGGAGTGGGCTGGTGGGAACTGGTGGCCCCTCAGGGGAATTGGTGTGTCCCCTCATGGGAGCTGGCGTCCCCAGGCTGAGAGCTGTCCCCACGCTGTCCCCAGGGCTGAAGCCGTGCCCCATGGTGCTGGTGTTTGGCTGCCGGCAGTCCAGGATCGACCACATCTACAAGGAGGAGACGCTGTTTGCCAAGAGCCAGGGTGTCTTCAGAGAGCTGTACACGGCCTATTCCCGGGAACCCGACAGACCAAAGGTGGGCACGGCCCCAGCAATGCTGCCCAGCCTGGGCTGGGTCCCTGGCCAGTGGTGGCTCATCTGGGGCACAGAAATGGGCAGGGTTGTCCCTTCCCAGTGGGCACCATTCCCAAGGTGTGTCACCATCCCAGTGCCAGCTGGAATGTGTGCCCAGGCTGCTCCTTCCTGCTGCCATCCACNTTCAATTGGTTTTCCCCTTTTAAAAGGGTGAGTCAGGGCGTGCTGCAGTGTCCCTTCTCCCTGCTGTGACCTTGGTGACACGGCCACCACAGCTTGGACGTGCAGCCACCCCTACCCAGCTCACCAGCAGCTCCTGAGGCCAGGGCTCAGCCTCTCCTTATGGATCTTTGGAGTCTTTCCCAAAGATCATCCCAAAGTTAGTGATTTTGGGGAAGGATCCCCTAAACCACTTTTTCCTGGTTTTTGTTCCTTGCCCTGCAGCCGCCTGACGATTTTCCTGCGCCTGCACACCAACGGGCACCAGGAGCTGCAGTACCAGCCTGGGGACCACCTGGGTGTCTTCCCGGGCAACCACGAGGACTTGGTCAATGCCCTTATCGACAGGCTTGAGGATGCACCTCCAACAAACCAGCTGGTGAAGGTGGAGCTGCTGGAGGAAAGGAGCACGGCTCTAGGTAAGCAGGGAGCACAGGTGGTCTCTCTCCTCCTTTCCCTAAGTTCTTGTAGCTCCTCAGGGAGGTGGGTGGCCACAGGAGAATTATTTTCATCTCCCTGCTGTGTTTGTGTGGATTGGGAGCTCCTTCTTCATCCCTGCTCTGCACAGAGCCATTGCTTGTCTGCACTTGGAATGTGGAGCAAGGGTTTGAAGGGTGTGACTGTTCACAGGGGTCCGAGGATGAGGGAAGAGACGAGGATCTGACTCCATGTTTCAGAAGGCTTGATTTATTATTTTATTATATATATTATATTAAAACTATACTAAAAGAATAGAAGAAAGGATTTTATCAGAAGGCCAGCTAAGAATAGAAAAGGAATGAATAACAAGGCTTGACTGTGATTGGCCTTTAATTAGAAACCACCAACATGGGCCAATCACAGATGCACCTGTTGCATTCCACAGCAGCAGATAACCATTGTTTACATTTTGTTCCTGAGGCCTCAGCTTCTCAGAAGGAAAAATCCTAAGGAAATGATTTTTCATAAAATATATATGTGACAGAAGGGTAGGCAGGGCCCTGGGGAAGATTTTCCGTGGAAAAACTAAAGGTCTTTATACTCCTATGGAAAGGGCAATGTCTAGGACTGGGAAGAAGAGTTAAGGGGCGTGGAGGGGCCATCCCAACACCGGATTTCAGGGATTTTCTGATTCCCAACTGGAGATGGAAAACTCTAATCCAGTATCTCAGAGGGGGATGAGAACCAGGATTTGCCCCCCTTGGCCCTGCTGCTCAGCTGATGCCAGGCTCATGCTGGATTCCCTCCTGGCAGGTGTCATCAGTAACTGGACAGACGAGAACCGTGTCCCACCCTGCACCATCTTCCAGGCCTTCAAGTACTACCTGGACATCACCACCCCTCCCACCCCGCTGCTGCTGCAGCAGTTCGCTCTGCTGGCCACCAGTGACAAGGAGAAGAAACGTCTGCAGGTCCTCAGCAAGGTAAAGAGCCCAAGCCCCAGGTTCTGCAAGCCCTGGGGGCAATCACAGCCCAGCCAGGGCATTTCCATCCCACACTGTGCTCAGGTTGAGTCTCCTGAGCTCTGCTCAGGGTGCCTACACTGCCCCTCACTCCAGCTTTGCCATGGACCTCCTGGAATATCACCTGGAAAAGGTGGATCCTGCAGCTCTCTCCTCCCTCCCTCTTTCCCAGGGCCTGCAGGAGTACGAGGAGTGGAAGTGGTCCAAGAACCCCACGATCGTGGAGGTGCTGGAGGAGTTCCCCTCAGTGCAGATGCCCTCCACGCTGTTGCTGACCCAGCTGCCCCTCCTGCAGCCTCGCTACTACTCCATCAGCTCGTCCCCAGAGATGTACCCAGGGGAGGTGCACCTCACCGTGGCTGTGGTGTCCTACCGCACCCGAGGTACCGCCCCAGGGCTGGGCTCTGGGGGAAACAGCACAGGGGCAGCCACACCAAACCTCTGGCAGGGAGATGAGCCTTTAAAGCCTGCTGCAAGAGTAGATGGCCCAAACCACTGCTGTCCCATTTCATGGACAGTGGCAGTGACACAGAGGTGATACTTCTGGGGCGATGTCTTGGTTTGAAAAGCCAGGTGTCTGCTGAGGAAGGCAGGAGACTCCCCTGAAATGGAAAATGCAAACCTCCTCCCTCCAAAATATTATTATTTTGAAATTAAGGGGCTCTCAGACAAAGATATGGGAGTAGGAGTTACAGTTCTTTACTAGAAAAATTAAAGATACAAATGCAATACAAAAAACTAAAAAACATTTCCAGAATGAGAATCTGACCTGTCCCCGTCTGTGTCAAGGTGGTGTCCCAGCCCCATCCCATGGGGGCTCAGCCCTCCTGCAGTGCCAGCTGTGGCTCTGCTGCAGCAGGGATCCTGCACAAGGGGGGAGTTTTCCTCTGCAGCTCCAGGGCTGCTGCAG